ATATATATATATATATATATATATATATATATATATATATATGCATGTAACTTGTTAATTGTACGAATTTTTTAAATGGACTCGCGCCACGATTCGGTTCTTCTCGTTCATCCTATAACGTGCACATGATAATCGCGAAATTAACGACACGACCGATGTTTCTTCAAACGGCGCACTTTCTCCCGACTTCCAAACACATGCCGGTTCACTTCCAAGTGCGATAAAACGCGCGTACGCGTGACATGATTCCAATGTTATTTTGTTCTTTTGTGCTGATTGAACGCGGCACGCGCGAATCTAGCAAAAATATGCGTTAAGCTCGCGGACAGCTCGACGGAGACAGTGCGAGAGCGAACTTTCTAAAGCGTAAATGTCAGTTCTCTTGCTCGGCAGGTTGCATAAGTGTGGTCGCGAGTATGCGGCCGAGACAAAATTACATAAGGCGACGAAATAATTCCGATCCGAAAGAATTCGACGGATAGGACAGGTCGGACAGGTTCGATCACCTCGCCAGCGGAAACGCCGGCTCAGATTGATTTCCGTCTGCGATTTCCCCGTTCTGAAACACGCACGTGTCTATCGCTGCGTAAAAGTGCGGACAGGTTTCCTGTCCATACATGCAATATATCGAAACTACTATATATCGAAACTACTATATATCGAAACTACTATATGTAGGACGATGTAGCACGACGCAACTTATTTACAACAGAATTTTTAAACAATAGTCTCTCATGATGGCCGATATTTACGTATAAGTTCTTCTCGCGTGACTTGCAAAGCTCAAAATATACAACAGCCATTTAAATTTTAGCCTCGGAAGCTCATAAATCTCGACGTATTTATACACTGAGAGAGAAGAAAAATGATTGATTTAATTAAAATTATAGTTATTTTTGATCCCAGTCACATTTTTTGTGGTAAAATATTAGTTGTATCTAGTTACTTTCATTAACATTATAGTAGAATTTAATTAAAATATAATTTTCTTAATCACAATTTATACTAATTATATGTATAAAATTACATTATACATTTTATACATATTATACATTATATATAAAATAATTTTATAATTATAATTATTATAATTATTATAATTATTCTGTCATATAATAATTCTCTCTTTCTCTCTGTGTATTATAAATACTAAGCATTGTTTTCTCCGTATAAATGCTCATTTTTCCATGACGTTGCAGACGCCGCGTACAATTGTCCCAACAAGGACGGCCAATATGAGGACAGCAGGCAATGCGACAGATATTACGAATGCGTCGACGGTGTCGCGACGGAGAAGCTGTGCCCGGATGGTCTCGTGTTCGATCCCCTGAATCGCAAGGTCAACAAGTGCGACCACGTTTTCAACGTCGACTGTGGCGACCGTCTCGAATTACGTAAGCGACACCGGCATACCGATCAATCGTAATATATTGTCCCGCAGGGAGATTTCATCACACAATGAAATGCGCCGGGGGCTATCTCTGGCACAGAGTCACACGATTAATCACCAGTGGCGACGCTTGTTCAACAGAGCCGCCACAGCCGACGAAGAAGTGCCCGCGACGAAACGGTTTCTTCGCCCATCCTGACCCGGCGGTGTGCAACATCTTCTACAATTGCATCGACGGCGAGGCGATCGAGATCATCTGCACCACGGGCTTGCACTTCGACGAGTACAGCGGAACGTGCGTGTGGCCGGATAGCGCGGGTCGCGAGGTAAAAAAGATCGTGAAGAAACCGCGTTTCGTGAAGAACCAACGCTCCGTTCATTATGCCTGTTGATTACAGTCGCATCTTAGCGTCGATTGATGTTACGAAATTCTGAGAAGTAGATTGCATCGATTTTGAAAACCGTAGGTAATGATACCCTCAGAGTCCTGACTCCAGCGTCAGACTGATTTCGGCAATGATCGGCGAAAAATGTTCTTAAGCACTCGAATATTGTCACGCACAAGTCGTGCGCTTCTCCGTTAAATTCATAATCCAGAGAAAGTGCGTCCCCTCTAAGTACACTCCGCGAGCAACGCGTACTTTCTCTCAATTATAGTTGCAGATTCTCCGACTAATCTGATATTGATATATGTATATCCCTCTACAACTACAGTGAAATTTGCAAAAGTAGAGCGAAAAATCAAGGGTCCGATAAGCTTTGCGTTCAAGAGGCGCGAGTGAATAATATATGGTCCTTAATTAAGCACACATGCAAATTTCACGCGATTTCTTCAAGCAATCACGTAGAATACAAGCTAGACATGATAAAATAATCTAGAAGAAATACAAAAATCATTGACGTCTAGTGTAGTAAATTCTCGTCGGAGAATCCGTAGCCGAATCAATGATGAGGAAACCCGTCGGATCTATCTTAAAAATCGCGCGATTCGCTTCGACGCAGGGCTGCGGGGTCGTGGGCAAGAAACTGCAGGACGGCTTCGAATGCCCGCACGAGAGTCAAGTCGACAGCAGGGGTATGGCGATCGACCACCCCAAGTTCTCACACCCTGAGGACTGTCAGAAGTTCTACGTGTGCCTTAACGGCGTAACGCCGCGCGAGCAAGGATGCAGCGACGGCACTGTCTACAATGAGGAACAGCAGAGGTGCGACGCGCCCGAGAACGTCCCTGGATGGTACGAATCGTTCCTGTTACACTAATTACCGTGCAATTGCTACGACACGTCGTCGTTATCGACAGTGGCTGGTCAACGGCTTTTAGGCCGTGATCAATCCATTAGCGAGACTCGATTTCTCCACGCTCTTCTCTCAACTTCTCTCGCGCGCGGATAGAGAATTACTTAAGTCGCTATCGTTATTACTGTTAACACCTATTTCCAACGAATATATTGCGAACTTCGTTAATACTGTCATCACACATTGTATTATATGTGTTAATATTTCAATTCGCGAGGAAGGTAATAACCGTAATTTGCCTTGCAGCGAGGATTGGTACAAGGACGACGACAAGAAGCCATGAGGGAATTGTCGACGCTTATCTGTCCCGCATCGGGACGCCCGCGTTCACTCGAATCACGTGTCACCTCCGCTCAACGTGATAATTCACGTGTGTGTGTTTAGTTATTTGAATGCCTTGGAATAAGAGTTATTTTTACTTTACGCGTTTGCTGCTTAATTAAATCGCCCTTCCTCTCCACCTCCTTTCCCAATACTCCGATACAAGTTTAACACGATGTCTGATTAATAGGAAAGATTAACAATTACCAATCATGGACTATACAAGTGTTACTTCACACGGAAATATAAAAATATTCAGAAGTCCGATCAATAAGTAATTCGGCTGAATCCACTTGATAGATTTACTTCAGTGAGAAGAGTTTCCTAAAACATAAAATGTATTGTTCTGCTTGATTTAAAGCACGAGATTTCGCTCGAGACGAAATTGCTTAACTGATGTCAAAGAAATTAAAATCGATTAACTCGAGTTCTTTCCATTGATTGATGAACCTTATGGTTCTTAGGAGTCTTGATCAAAGAAAAGCTTTGGCACCGGTAAATTCTTGGAACATTCGAGGAACGGCATTCGAGGAACGCGCAAAGGCCTTGAATCTCGCTTCCAGATCGGTCAACTATTACTTTCTCCCGAACTGTACTCTTGCTTCTCGTTTTCCGATTTGCTCGCTCTCCCCCTCTTCTCTCTCTCTCTCTCTCTCTCTCTCTCTCTCTCTCTCTCTCTCTCTCTGGTGCTAAATTAACGATTAGCAATGAGCGAGAGATGCATCTCGCGTCGTCGCGTTCTCTCGCTCCGCTTTCTCAGATATTGCTCAACGATGACTTCTGAAACACATTCGCGCCACAAGGAACGATCTTTCGAAGAGAGCGGCAGGAATAACGCGAGAACGAAGTAGCAAAACCCGAATTCTCTCAAATAGAAAAAATAAACGCAAAAAAATCTTACAAGATATATTTCTCCGGTTGAGATAGTGCGCAGGTTAGCCGGTTGAATTATTACGACTTAACTTTCCCATTTACGAGGCACCCTCGCAAATGTCACTTGCTGGCGAGTTTTTTGAAGATCAAATCTACTCGGCAAAAGATTAAATTCCACAGCGTTCGCGACGTCATCCAAGGTGGTCTCGAATAATCGATCAGCGGTCTATTAAATTTAGGCAGACAGATAATTGCCTGCCTAAGCTTAGCATAATTTCTAGTATAATTTTCGTATCTCTCCATCGACGAGAGACGGGAAAACATGGTTTCAGGCAATTAAGTGGCGCGCGCAATTGTTGCATTGACTTAAGCAAACACGCCAGTCTCGCGTTCCGCTTTCGAAAATATCGCGATTTGATCTCCAGAATCGACCTGACACCGCGGATAAGTGCAAGCTGCAAGCGCATAAGGTGGGCGACATAAGTCGCGAGAACGGTAGCAGCGACCCGCCGATCGCCACCCGGAAGTCTCTGGAATCTATCTGTGGCCGATAATAGCACGATGCAATAAAACCTGCAATCGCGAGAGAAAAGAGGGCTAGTATTGCGCACCGCGAGTGAACGAGAGAGAAAGAGAGAGAGACAAAAAGAGAGAGAGAGAGAGAGAGAGAGAGAGAGAGAGAGAGAGAGAGAG